CAAAACAATAAATGTAAACTCATTTGCTAAATTCAATATGGCAGCTCTTTTCTGACGAACTAATGATAAAATTAAGAAGGTAATTTCAACAATTTAAAAAAAAGCATTCCCATCTTTGCATTTTCCGTAATTTAGCTTATCAAATTTTACTGCATGAAAAACAGCTTCCCATCTCCGATTTGTGTATGTACAATGGATTTATAAATATAAATTTTGACAATGAGATATTGTCAAATGAATAATTTTGAAAAAAAATTTAATAGCATGTTTCCATTGGAAACCGAACAACGTTGTTCGCTCTCAGAATTAGGTACTCGAATTAACCCGTTCATACGGCACGATTCGTAATTCATAGTAAAATAATTCCGTTTTTCATAATTTTGTTTGTTGATTTTAATGGGAATTTATACTAAAATACATTAAATTCTCACTAATATGGATAGAAGAAATGATTATTTTTCTCCCAAAGATTTATTATAACATTAATTTTATAATTTTCATTCACGTCTCAAACTTTTTGTGTAAATGTTGACATTTTGAACATATTTTTGTATTTTTCTATTTTTAAATTCTGCTGGAGAGACACTTGTCAAACATTTTTTCTGCCGATGCAAACATTTTGAAAATATTGCCTCTTTTGTTTCCTGTTTTCTGTGGTAATTTCAACTCGTGGACAAAATGCGTACCTCGGATGAGAGAGAAAACTAAATTTACTTTCGAGTTTTGCCTTGTTAAGGCGAAGATCATATGTTTTATGATTTAAGTGTTTGTTTTCTCTTTCGAGACGAGCTTAATGATCTGAAATTTGCAGTGAAAAGGAAAGCCAGATAGACACTATCACACACTCACCACTATGCGACGCGTTTCGCCGTTGGTTAAGCGGCTCATCAGGCATATTTGATGTGGATGATGGCTTACAAGTATGAATGTACATACGCTATTCGACATTTTAGTTTTCATTCATAAATTTCAGTCTTCCCAAAATTTTTCAAAATTTCATTAAATTTTTCTATTTTCAATTTTTAAATGTCATAATTAATTTTTTCGATAAATGCTCTCATTTGTTAGGGATGGGACATATTTTTTCGTTGTCCTGAGAGTGATTTGATTTGAACAATCTACAAATATGAGTGTTCGCTCAGGAAATGTTGTGTGAAGAATTAAGTAGTTTTTTCATAGTTAAGGGTCAAACAACGAATAGAGAGCGAATCAAGTGCAGTGGAAACGCCACATAAACATATGATGGTCTTAATTCTACCATGCACGAACTTGATCTTGTCATTTTTTAAATAAAATCTATTATCATATCTTAAATATTTTCGTATGTCGAGTGGCAGATTTTGCAAAAATAATAAATAATCATTTATTTTCACATAAAAAACATATACGTTCCATATCTTAGGAATACTGTACGTTTAATTATCTGTTATTGGACTTAAAAAATATAAAGATAAATATTTCAACCGCTTCATCTTAAGCAAACGTTTTCGGTGATGTTAGTTCTTGTCTAGGCCTCGAATTATGTTTTACTTAAATCCCCCCTTTAAGGATCAAACCCCTAGGATCCGAGCTGAAAAAATCTTGCCAAAACCTACAGAATATCCGCTGGATATGGATTCAGTAATAAAACGAAAACTTACGCTGACAATTTTCTAATAATAAGAGATGGCAATCAAAAAATATTTGTTCGAAAATAAATGTAAGTTTCTTACCAGCGGTATGTTAATACTTAAGGAAGAACTACAAAATATACCCATGACAATGAAGGAACAAAAAATAAAAAAAAATGATATCGTAAGATAGCATGAGATTACCCATAATACAATAGGTAGAGCTACTAGCTGATAACAATTTTTTTCTGAAAAATAAAAACAAAATACTTTCATAATCAATGATTGGAAGACGCGTACATTGCGGGACGGTCTCTGAAGTTATTCGCAAGTTTTTTCCATGCAATTGAGAGATCGAACATTTCACTAATTTTTCCCGCTTTTTACTTGATTTTAAAAATGAGGAAAATTATGGAATAATTGAAAACAACTTGTTTGCATGCTAATTTGACAGGAAGCGGGCATAGCCTCAGGGCTGTAATTCTGCAGTTTTACGAAGCTGTTCTACCTCCTTATTGTACCATGAGATTACCTTGGTGTACCATGGTAATGTCAGAAAATTTCATGTACAGGTCCACGACATTATATAGTTCCCATATATTCGCTATTTAGACCATTTTATCAACACTTTTCACCAGAATTATTTCTAATTCGAAATTTTCCTCCCTACGGTATCACCAAATGTTATGTAATTTAATGATTTCAGCATTTAGCTTAAAAGAAGAAAAAGACTAATTTGTCTGGTAAGAATTTGTCAACTCTCAATAAAATAACTGTCAAAGATTATTTCTTTAACCGATTTTGTGTTAACAGACACTTCCGATAACAATATACTATTATTATTATTCTTATTATTATTATTATTATTATTATTATTATTATTATTATTATTATTATTATTATTATTATTATTATTATTATTATTATTATTATTACTATTATTATTATTATTATTATTATTATTATTATTATTATTATAATTATAATTATTATTATTATTATTTCTATTGGTAGATCGTAAGGCCCTATCGTACCAAATTTTTTTACATATGTAATATCCAATTTTCCATATGTAGTAATACAAGTAATACATGGACGACATTTCGGTTGTGAAATACATGAGTAAAGTACGTGCGTACTTTTTCGATCACAAAAATCGATCGGAAATATATATTTAATTCAAACGTGTTTTGGGTTTGTTGTGTAAAAATATAAAAAAAAAATTAATGGTTTGTGTCAGAACCTGTATGAATCTAATTTTGCATCTAATTTTTCCGATATCATAGAAAAAAACTTTTACACGCTTGCAATTCTGGACCAGACCATAAATTTGCGGTAAAAATTCATTTACAAAGTATTATGATTTTTTATAAGCTGCAATACAATCACAATGTAATCAAGGGACATAAAAAACATATGCAAATGTGTGATAGTAAAAATTATGAGAAATTGCAATTTTGACATACATACGGAAATACACTTGGGTAATAAAAGTCACAACACATACGATGATGCCTTTAAGGGTGAAACAAATCAAAGTTTAAATCGTGACAACATTGTAGCCTTTTTTGGCCGTCACTTGTAGCTGACAACAGTGTTGTATTTTAACGCTCTACCGCAAATTAAAAACAAACTGAGTAATGTACGATAACTTTTCTAGTAACATTTACTGAGAAAATGTTCTCTCTCACGTCAAAATATTACAAAAAGTTATCGAAAATTAAATCCTCCTTACAAAATTTATCACAACTAATAGCTAAAAACGCCGAAAACTCAATATTTAAGGAGTTAGGAGCGTTTTAAAGTTTTTATTAATCCACCCTTACAAAAGTGATCACAAATAATAGCTAAAAATGTGTCACATAAATTAGTAGCGAAAAATAAGTTATTTAATGGTATAATACAGTATTAATGGTATAGTACAGAAATTTGGAAATATATTTTCATCCGCCAGAATGCAGCTATTTTTGTTGATGTTACCGGATAAATTTTAATGAGTAAGTTTTTCCAGTAAAATTATGCAAACTTTCACTAACCCAATTGTCAATTGTGTTACTCGCTCTTATTTACAGAACTTATGAGTCATCGCACCACAAAATGTTGGGTTACCGTACATACCTTTTATAGAATTGTACGTACATCTAGGACAGTGGACGGTTTCTATTCAATGATCTGATATTTATAAAGTAAAATTTATAAAGAGAATCTTTTATGAATTACATGCAACTGGTCCATCGGGCGCCACCATTATGAGGAAGTATCAGGTATAACTGGAGGGAAACGAGTAGCATACTGGCGGGATGCGTGGTACTTCGCTAGATTTCAATTTCTTCTTATACCATTGATAGCACAACCCGAAAGAGAAGTTTTGTACCGTAAAAATGTGTTTTGCAATAAAACGCCCTCTTAAACTACAATAGTCTTTGTCGACTTATCACGTAGAATGTAGCCGACATTCTCCATTTCCTTTAAATTCTAAATACTTGTGTACAGTATGCGAACTTATGTCACACAAATACCAACTAAGAAACCTCTAAATCTTTTTTGTGACCAAAATCCTTCGAACCTTAAAACAGTATAACTTCAAATCTTTTAAGATGATTGTGGTCTTCAATTGTGCTGAAATTACCAAGGATACGGATAGACAACAAACAATATCATGTTACACCAATGTAAGAGGAAACTATCCGTAATCATAGTATTTATCAGTTTTCTCACGTAACTGTCGAGACACACAAAGGATTTGCAGAAAAAAATTTCCTATTTTCATCTATGCCCATCTAACACGTAAGGCCACAAAAGTAAGGTCAAGTCCGTTTATTTTTTTTCTTCTTTATCACAAAATGGAAAATTAAAATTTCAAAACAATACAAACCAATTAAAGATTTTCTATACAAAGGTACAAGACAATAATAACAACAGCCATGCCATAGAAGGCGTGCTGACTTGATCACGTCGAAGATTAGATCCAACGGTTTTTATTTGTATACATCACGTAGAGACAGAGAGAGAGAGAGAGAGTGTGGGAGCGAAAAGTGCCATGAAACCGGTAACTCAACATGGAGCCTAACAGTCAGTCAGCTAGCTACATACATAGTCATAGTTAGTCAAACATACAAACACTTACAATTGTTTTGTCCCATTGTTGGGTTGTTCTGAACATCGAAGAGATCAAATCTCTGCTTCCATACCTGTTTGGTGCCGGTGGTGGTGGTGGACAAACATTGTTTATCGCTGTTAATATTGTATACAAACATTTAAGTATGCTGGTATGTGTGCGTGTTGTACCCTTCTCAGAAAGCCTATATCCAGTGTGTAATGAAGAAGAGTAACCAAAATCCCCACACCTACTGTGCGCCGCTTCAAGCCGGGATTTAGATTTCCTTTCAATGAAGAGTGCTCTCTCGTCAGGTAGAGAGATTTTTGTCTTGGACATCGGCATCGGCTCAAATCATTTCACTTGGTGCCAGTTGAAAATCAGTTGAATTTTAGAGATTGTACGGTACGGTTGTATGGAGCGCACAAAATAAATGAGAACAAAATGAGTGTCGAAAAAATGAAAACCTCATCATCATCCTCCTCCCATGACTTGGATATCAGTTCTCAGTTTGCCAAGAAAACATTACAAGACTATGAAGTTATATCGGTAATTGGCAACGGTGCCTTCGGAACATGTTTTAAGGTGCGTGACAAGGAAACGGGCGAGTTGTTTGCCTGGAAAGGCATGGACTACGATGAGCTAAGTGAATCGCAAAAGGAGTCGCTTGTTTCGGAAATACGTGTGCTACGGCAATTGCAACATCCCAACATTGTTCAATACTATCATCATTTGGTCAATCATGAGGCCAAATCCATATTCATTGTTATGGAATGCTGTGAAGGTGGCGATTTGTCCCAGCTCATAGCCAAAGCAAAGGCTGAGAATAAACGTTTCGAGGAGCGTTACATTTGGAGAGTTCTATTTCAGCTGTGTCGGGCCCTGCAGGTGTGCCACAATAAAATCAAAGAAGGCACAATTTTGCATCGCGACATTAAACCAGCCAATATTTTCCTCGACCTGGAGGGCAATGTGAAATTGGGAGATTTTGGATTGGCCCGTATGCTGAAGCGCAACGAATCATTTGCGGAAACCTTTGTTGGCACACCCTACTACATGAGCCCGGAAATGGTGAAGGGTTCAAAATACGATCGCAAATCGGATGTATGGGCTGTGGGATGTTTGATCTATGAAATGTGTGCTCTGCGTCCTCCATTTAAGGGCAAAGAATTTACCCAACTTTCTGCAAATATTTCAAATGGAAAGTTCAGTAAAATTCCCGAAATCTATTCCAAAGATCTGCAAGAGATTATTGCCTTTATGCTGGAGGTGGAATATGAACAGCGACCCAGCATTGAAGTTATATCCAGACATCCAATTCTGGTACGTAACATCAATGATTTGGGTAACCAATTCCCCCGCTTGATCGACATTGAGAGTGTGGAGCAAGATTTTTATGTGACCACAGATGAACGCGATGTTCGATGTAAATTGGAATATAGCCCCCTGCGTGATTTCTCCAGCACTGTGTATTCCGAGCAGAATAGTTTTCACGAAGGTTATGGTCAACGACGTTTGAGTATAACGGGCGTTTTTACACCCGACCTGCGAGAGGAGTTATTCTACTCAGCCAAACGTAGAATATTCCCAATTAATCCAAAATTACAAGTTTCAGATCCAGAGTTATATGAAACTATACGACGAGAAGAATATGCCACAATAGATGAGACAATAAAACCCCGATATTTTCCCCAAGAAGAACATTGCGTTGACCTATCCCCAGATGTGTTGACAAGAGATATATTCGATGGAGTTCTACAGGAAAGACTACACGCAATTCGTGCACAGGAATCTTTGCTTCGACAAAGGGAAGAAGCTCTTAATTCCAGAGAACAACAACTTAATGAAAAAGAAAAACGCTTAATAGCCTTCGAACAAAGTCTGATGGAAAAATATAAGGCATTCAATGAAAATCAAATAGCCAAAACAAATTCCAATCAACGACCATCCAGTGTTAATGAAAGATCACGGATATCACTGCCAGATATGAGACCAGCCTCAGAACTGCCACCACCAATACCACCCCGAAAACCAGTAAATCCCGATGAGACATATTGTACTATCGAACCCACCGACACCACTTTACTGCATGAACCCACAGTGGCCAAACTAAACTTGGCTTCACTGCCCGCCCCGAAAGCCTTTCCTGCATTACGTAAAGTCACATTTCAATCACCCAAGAAGTTCATTACCTATGACATTGAGTCTAAGCCATGTAAACTATCGGCTGCCATCAGTGCGAATCAAATGCAAACCAGTGTATCGAGTAAGGGCAGCGATGACTCCAATGAAAGTTCAAGTACCACAAATTCTGCAACCTCCGCTGGATCATCGACCACAAATCGCCGCAAATCGATTCTTTCGATATTCGGTTTAAGTCGTAACAATAACAAGGAGCCAATGGCGCCCAACAATAATCAAACAAACAAATCTGCCCCATCAACACTGCCACCAACATCAGCACCATTAATCATTGAAAAAGTAACAACGGCCCAAGAACGTCTTGCCCCGCAGCCACATAAAGAAGAACGCATTCTTTCGAAATGTGAAACTGCAGATTTGACCAACATTTGGACCAAAGAACATAAAAAGGCTGCCTTTGAGATGTTGGCCGCGATGAATGCTGCCGGCAATGAAGGCAGCATGGCTCCTCGCCACAAAATACGTCAATCGGTTCGTGAACGTAACACCCTGCAGCGTAATCGTATGCGACGTTCACTAATGGCACCAACAAATCATCATGGTCCCATTGGAATGCGGGAACAGATTGTACTTTGAAAGTGTGGTGTTCATTGGTTGATTGACTTTTCCCCTCCCTCCCTTACTCTCTTGCCATGGGTATATGTTCTTCCAAGGAATTAAAATACAACAATTAAGATTTGTGATTTGGAAATAATTCCAATAATTTTAAGATATAGTTTAATATAGACATTAAATAAACTGATTAATAATTTTTTAATATAAATTATTAGACGACAAGCAAACATTTATAATAAATTGTTTTGAAATATCTATGTAAACCAATTGTTTATATCATTTTATTATCGAGAGTGTGGGTTTTTAACTTTCGAAGGGAGCGTTGCGAATACTTGAATCATGTCCAAATATTTATATGGGGGATATACCCATATTGATTATTGTTTGGGAGGAGTAAATCCACAAAAACCCAAAATGTTTGGTTGGAAAGTATCGCCAAAAATACCACTTTTACATTCTTGCAGTTCTGGAATAGACCAAGAAACTAGTTTCTTATATATACCAAATTGACCAAAAAAGTCATATGCCTTACCAAATACTTAAATCTGGTAACATTCATTTAAAAATAGAACATGGCATCAGGAGGTATCCGGAAGCTACTCATCTTCAGTTGGCAAGACCTTTAACGTATATTTGATAACACCGCTAAAAACAAACACTTAGGAAAAAATTTTGTATGGATTATATTTATTCTTATATTTTGGAATAATTCAACAAGATTGCTTATCATTTTTTTTTGTTTTTATTAAATGCTGCGGTATTTTTAAAGAAAGAAAGAGGTTCTCTAAATGGCCAACAAACAGTCATTTTGTCGGCGTTAGCCTAGTCCCCGCACATCGACTTTGTAAACCACTTTGTTATTCACGCCGTTAAACATTTTTTCTTCAACTCAGTTCTCTATATTCAGACGAAAAGAATTGCATATCTATTAGATCACCTGCGTTTTCTCTCCGATAAATTGCATCAAAAAGGAAGCAAAAATCGTTATTACCTGTTAAGAACGCGAAAAAGTTTGTTTGCTTTGCATTAATACATATTATGAGCGATTGGGCGAAATCACAGAAGAACCAAACAAATAAAAACATTGAAAAAATGTCCGATGACGCATCTAAGTTTTTGGGAGGAATCTTGGGCGACATCAGCTCCCGATCGGCATATGCACAAATTGGCATTGGAGCTGCTGCTGGATGGGCAACTGGCTTTGCCACAATGAAAGTTGGCAAATTTGCCGCCTTTGCAATTGGCGGTGGCATCATACTCATGGAGATTGCACATCAAGAGGGCGTGATTGAAATCGATTGGTCCAAGATTTGCCGAAAATTGGACAAAGTTACCGATAAAGTAGAGGAGGCTGTTACCGGCCAGGAAAAATCATGGGTGGACAAGGCCGAAAGGTCATTGGACCGCAAGTTAGATCGTGCCGAAGAGCTACTCAGGAACAAGACAAAGAAGGCCAAGAAATGGTACAGCTCTCTCATTGGCGATGAGAATGGTCCAAAAATAAATGATTTGCACATTTTCCTAACTGCCTTCGTAGGTGGTGTTGCATTGGGCATTGCGAGCTCTTAAATAGTAATAACACGCCATGAAAGTAATTGCATAAATGTGGATTTTGAAGTGATTTATTTTTCTCCCTTTTTCGTCCTTATTTCATTTCCCCCTAAACTCCTAATTTCAAGCACTTATTTAATATTTACAAAGGATATTTATAATTTATATGTATGTAATATTTCTAAATATTAATGTATGTTTTAAACTAGTATTAAAATGCGTTCAATCGAATAAAAACCAACAAAAATATACCTAAATTATGGGAATTGTTCAATTTGGTGTATCAGCCAAGGAAAAAATACTCAAATTTTAACAATGTTCTGGCTAGTCACATTTATATAACGCATTTTATTATTTTTTGTTAGTATGTAGACATAAGACAAAAATGCGCATCAATATGTAGAGCAGAGGTGTAGTATACAACATTGTCACATGTATATGACCGCCATATAAATGAATGTGCATAAAATTTCTTCAAAAAACCAAGCTAGATAACAGATATGTAAACAAACATTTTTTTTGCGGTAGATAGGTGATGGGTGCTATTCTGTGGGGATTAAATAAAAAAGTTAGTTTAAGTCTACAATCATTACAGGGGTAAGATTTGCCGAGATTAGACCAATTTCTAATAGCTGTGGAAATATCTTTTTCGTACAACGAAGATAAAATCTGGCATATATTTAAGAAAACTGAGAAGAGTTTTAGGATATTTTTGGCCGTGACATAAATGATCGCTCCACCCTCAGAAAACAAGTTACACGCAAAACGGTGAAAAATCTAGTTAAACTTTAAAATGTTTGAGTTCTTCGACTACATTAAGCATTTTTTGTTCCGCTTTCATCACCAAATGTTGTTGATGTCTATATAAATGTTAAAATATGTTTTTATACCCTACGTCCTACTTTGGTACAGGGTATAATGTTTTTCTACATTTGTTTGTAACATGAAGAAGGAAGCGAGATAGACCCATAGTTCCTTTTGGTGATTTGCACAGAATTCTGAGTCGACATGTCTGTCGCTCTGTCCGCCTTTCCATGTATTTTGGTAAAACAGTACGAAACATTTGTTAGACCCAAGAATGAACCTTATTGCAATTGGATATAATCGGACCAAATTTGGATAAAGCTCCCATATACGTCTTCATATGATTTGTCTTTTATTGTGAACCCAATTTGTAATTTTAGGAAAATAGGACGAGATTTAGCCTAGGAATAAGTGTGACAAATTTGGGGAAATTCGGTATACATATATTTATAGCTTCCATGTATATGTTTCATCCGACTTGCTATTTAGGTATTCTCTCAGCCGCAATATGCACAAAATTTGGTACAGGATATCAGATGCAACTCAGAAATACTTCTGCCAAATTTTATGGAAATTGGCTTTGATTTAGATATAGCTTGTCTTGTGTCAAATCAGACACAGTTGGATGAATTTTTGGAGCATACGATCAAAGAAGCAAATTTTGGCGGAATGGTTTCAGATATAGCTATAGCTCTCATATATTTGGTTTATCCAGTTTGATGTTTGTAGGTGGTGTAGGGAATCAACAAGCCGACCCTGTGCGACTTTTGCACTTTACTGGTTTTATATATAATTAGTTTTCATCCAGGTGTTCATATACCATACATTATGACTGTGACATTGTTTGTAACATACAATGGACATGTTAGACCCATATTTCTGCATTTGTCGATTTAAGCACAAGCATTTTTGTAAATAATGTACAAATTGTATTTTTGGCTCCATTGATTTGGCACTGTTAATTTTTCCGGCCCAGTAATAAACCCTATTTGACGATAATCGGTTCAGATTTGAACTCAGATGTCATATAGATTTTAATCCAATTTACATTTATTATGCAAAGAATGTATAATGTCTTCCTGAACCATATGGAATTTAGCACAAGGCGTTGAATTAATGCTGCAAGTTGGCGAGCCTCGACTTAGAACGAATGTACTATGCCTAAGCCTAGAACAAGATCAAACAAAGAGTCTTACTTTTATGTTCCCTATTGGTTACTCTCTGATGTCACTGTTTTTCTTCAGTGGTACTGAGAGAATTACGCTCATTGAATTATTGAGTGACTGGAACTGCCTGAGATTAAAATACCTCAGCCAATTTTTGGCTATTAAGAAATAACGTTCGTATACTTTCCCTCCGATTTGGTGTTAATGATTCAACCTGGTATTTTTTCTTTATATAAGATGAAGTTTGTAACATGCGATTTAGGTCCGATCATAGAAATTATAATTTGGTACGAGAGAAAACGATTCAGACATAGGTCCCACACACATGTATGTTCCATCCAAATTTAAATACCGATCAATAACCATCTTACTGGAACGATTACTTTGCAATAAATCCAAAAAAAAAAGCCTAAAGCCACTTCTAAACATACAGTGGTGTACGGTTTCATATAATCGGTCCCGATTTATTTTTTCATTTTTTACTGGTCTTTATATTATTTGGAAACAACCTTTTGCGGGACGCATCCTGTAAATCCTAAAAATATAATTGCGTTAATTTATAGATTCTATAGTTCCGAGTTTACTCAAATGGATTAAGCTACATTATAAAACGTTGCACTTCTGATGAATTTTTTAAATCCATTTAAATACCGAATGTCAATACAAAAATAGCTTTCTAAGCGACAGATCGCATTATTTTTATTTTAAACCTTTTTTCGATTATTTCGTATAAATTTACAATTTAAACTCTAATCCATCACAGAGCTGTTTTACCAGGATGGCTGTGCCCGACCCTCGGGACGACCATACAAAGCACTTTTGTCTCTGAATCTGGTCATACGCTCGGTTTCCTTCTGATCCAGGAAGTGACCAATGGCGAAGCCAAGCAAGGGAAGTACACCCCAAACGTAGCGTTTATCAAGACCCAAAACCATTTTGATCTATTGGTGCTTCAAGAGCTCTTGGATTTTAGCAATTTCTTTTTGTTCACGCTTCCACTGCTGGGTGTGAGACCAGTCGGCGTAGATAGTTGTAACGGTGACGGTAGGAAAGAATATAACAGCTCCGTATTTTCTTGCCAGACGTGCAACAACACTACCGGCCATGAAGTGCTGCAAAGGAAACACAAGACATTACGTAAGTTCCAGAAAAAGTTTGTACAATTTTGTCGATGGTGAGTTTGTAAATTCATTTAAAAATACTTTAGATTTATTGCCGATAATTTTAGGAGTTATTTACTGCATACTCAATTCTTTTTTTATTATTTTTAGGAATTAACAAACAGTTTCCTCACACAACTCACCTAAAATTTTGCGTGTTTTTTAGATTATTTTTCTTTTTTTCTTCTTTTTGTTTTGACGTTTCTTATTTCCTTATTTGACGTCTTGGTGGTATTGCCAAGCGTAATAAAAAATGAAATTGTGTTAGCCAGCATTTAAAATGTAAACGTAACGTCAACGTAGCATATGAAAATCAAGCAAGAGTTCTCAAGGCTGTTTACACTAGCACATAATACAACTAATACAAGAATGAGCATTTTGATTAAATTAGAAAAAACGCAATTTTGAAAGCAACAAAATTTGTTAATAATGCATCATCCAATATATTATAATAAGCATGGTACCATGGTACAATGAAGAGAAGGTAGGTCAACTTTGAAAAATTGCAAGTATAGAGGTCTACCTGTTTGGCTTGTAATGTCAGAATTAGTATCAAAACAATAAAAAATCAAACAACTTGTTGCATTTATTTTGAATAAATAATTGAAAATCGCGATAACTGAATGAAAGGTCAACACTTCTTTTCAAAATCATGTACTATATATCTCTAAAGGATTATTTCGCTACAAAAATTCTAGATTTTGTCGATGCATGCGTTGAAATGAACATTTTGAAAACACACGAAATTGCATTTTTTCTGAACAATTTTTTGTTACAAAACACATACATAAACAAATAAAGATGACATATTAGGCCAAGAAAATAAAAAAATTAAAATCATATGGTATCATAGCCCTACCTTGATATCATTGTACCATGCATGGTACAATAAAATGGTAAGGTAAAGCTACCAGCTGATTACATTTTTTTTTGAAGTGTTACCGACTTCTGCCAATTTTGTGTATGTATTTATTGTTTTGAAAAATAAAAACAGAATATTTTCAAAAACAATGACTGGAAGACGCGTAAATGGCGAGACGTGCATTAAAGCTATTCACCAGTTTTGTCATGGAATTGAAAGATAGAACTGTTAAGATCTAGGCATTTCATTCATTTCTTCCGCTGTTTTACTGATTTTAAAAATAAGGAAAAATATTAAACAAATGGAAAAAACTTGTTGCATTCAAATTTGACAGGAAGCGGGCATAGCCTCAGAGCTGTGTTTCTGTAGTTTTAGGAAGCTGTTCTACCTCCTTATTGTACCATGGGCACAGCATTAAAAAGCGTAACCAAAGACATTTTCAAAACATACACAAAATTGGCGGAAGTCAGGCAAACCCTTCGTGTATGCGGACTAAATTTGGCATGTTCATGGTCAGCTGTTCCTGGCATAATCGGTATACCGAGTCATTTGTTTGTTTACGCATTAAAGTATTACAACAATTTATTTTTTTAAAACGTTGAGTTTTTTTTTTATTTTTTTAAACCAACAAATATTCGATACATGATATAATGATACGATGATGCATATAAAGTAAAAAGGTGTAGCTAAGCGCACCGGGTTCGGCTAGTAAATTATAAATGATAATTTCATAAAAAATTTCACTGTCGTTAAAAGTGAACACTTGTTTGACTAATAATAGTCATTATAAATGTAATAATCCAAATTCCAAAAATGTATATTTTTTAAATTAAAATAATTTATTGAAATTTAATTGTTTTTTTACATTTTTGGACATATAACTGTGACACTTGTTGTTGACTTCTGTTGTGCAGCAACATTTGCTGTTACCTGTATTATTCTACCATGTTGCAAAAACGAAATAAATCTTTTGAAATATATAGAACATCATTTTAAAAAATATTGACAATTTGAAACTATTTCAAGTTCAAATGCAGCAAAAATGCATTGTTCGAGTGAAATAGGTAATAAGTTTTGCGATTTTAAACAATATTATTCTACCACCTTGGATACCATTCTGTGGTATTTCATTTCATTCATATCTTGTGGGTTTCATCCAATATACAACATTTTATGAAAAATTCTAATATAAACCCAACCATATGTTTTATGATTAAAAACTTGAGTACAGAGTTGCATTTTTCCTAATTCATTCGAAGATAAACTACTCCTTTGAATTGCATTCTAAGCCGATTTATGCATGTTCGCATGGCAAAAATTAAGAAGGTAAAGTCATTTCAAAAAAGCATATCCATCTCGGTATTTTCTGTAATTTACCTTGTCAAATAGAAAAAAGGTTCCCATATTTAATTTGTGTATATACAATGGAATTATTAACATAAATTTTGACAAATTAATAATTTTGAAAAAAATGATAATAAATATACTTATATTTTTGAAGTTTCTTGGTTCTACGTTCCATATTTATGGAACACCAAGTTTATTTAGCTGTTCTTGGAATTTACCATATTAATATAAAGATTTCAAACCCTTCATCTTTAGTAAGCGTTTCCGGTCATTTTGGTTCTTGTGTAGGCCCCGAATAAGGTTTTACCTTAGGTCCACCTTTAGGGGTCAAATCCCCAGAATTACTAGCTAAAAATGTTGCCAAAATCTTCACAATAACTGCTATATGGATTCTGTACTAAAACGAAAACTTCGCTGACAAATTGTTTTGACAATGCAAATTCGACTAAAATGAGGAATGACAAACTTTTACAAGTATTGTAGCAAAAAAGACGTGATATTGTCTTCACACTTGTCCTAGGCGAAACCAAATTCAACCATTCCATAAATAAGTCTTACATGACATATTAGACTAACATGTGTTTTGTTTTAGATTATATTCTTCTTTGACTTTTATACCCTCTAAAAGGCGTGAAAGTAACAAAATATTTGGTCTGAAATAAAAGGAAAAATCTTGCCAGCTTTACGCCCGTATTTAAGAAAGAATTACATAATATAAATTTGACAATGAAGGGACATGAAATAAAAAATTATAATATATAGTAAGAGATTACCTTTGTAATTGTACCATAGATATAACTAACTACAGGGAACAAGTGTAGGCGAAGCCCTCGTAATAGATCCAGTACGTCCAATACGTAGCAGTTCCCGTCAAAATATTAGATGTAAATAGAGAAATTTAGTAAAGGTTTGGCAGATCGCTTTGTATTTATATGTGTAGTGCTACAATATGTAGTTCTTCTTACAATAAAATGGAAGTATTTAGCTTGCAAGTCAAACAAGACGATCGATGGAATCTCAACTGCATTTTTGATATGATATTTTCAACACGTTTAGACTACTAAATCCACTCGATTTCAAATGCCAATTTTAAGCGTTGAGTGGATGTGATTTTAACTTATACGCATGGTAGAAGAATATAGGTAGATGCATCAAAGATTGGGAACATTGATATGTCAAAATTTTTAAAATGTTTTATGAAAAATAAGTGTATTTTTTAATTTTTTTTTTATACGACGCATATCAGAGGTTAATATAATATGACCTTTTCAACAATTTTTACAAATTTTAATAATTTTTCATTCAACATTTTCAATTCCAAAATCGATTTGACAGTTCATTGTCCCAGCAGCTGTGCCGATGCGACTACCTGTATTCTTGTACCATGCTTATACGCTATGGAATTGACATTTGAGATCGAGAGGATTTGTAAATCTAAACGTACTACTAGATTCCTAATGGGTTGCAGTATGTCAAATCATATGTCAAATGTCCTGTGTCTCCTACTACAATAAGAATGTTGTAATTAAGGCATTATCAGATGGAATGGGGTTTACATATGTGCTGTCACTTTCATATGCTTTTTATATCCTTTGATTTCATTGTGATTATATGGTATTTAAAAAACCTTACCCTATGGATGTATTTTTCGGCAAATTTAATTTTATATATTTTCACACAACAAATTGATTAAATTATTGGGCTGTTCGAGAACCTGCAAGAATCTACTAGCTTTGCAATAAGTTTTTGATATCATAAAGGGAAAATCGGTTATAGTAGTAAAAACTATTACATTCTTGCAGTTCTGGAAAAGACCATATAGTTTTCCGATGAAAATAGGCTTCGCTGTGGTCGAAAGTGTACGCATGTACTTTACTCATGGATTTTACAATTGAAATGTCTTTTATGTATCACACGATATGTGCAGCTTCTACATATGGAAAATGTGACCATACATACGTAAAAAAATTGGTCTGATAGAGCTTTTAAGAGTAGACAAATTTCTACGGTTATGTGCTTTTAAATAAAAGCCAGACTGTTAAACCTTTTAAACAGCTGCCATATATATCTCCATCCGATTTCACATTTATTGTGTACAAGTGTGCAATATCTCACCAAAAAGAGTAGATTTTTGGCAAATTTGACCTAATTCTGCTTAGAAGGAAATTTATAAATTAATTAAAGCAGATTTAACTTTTTACAAACCTGAATAGTGTAATATATATTATACACCTAAAAACACCAAAAATACTCCGCAATATTTTGCCGAAGTCCGTTTAGATTTTGATACTGCTTGATTTCCAATATACACACACATGTACAACATGTATGTATTTATCTTTATTTGACTTTAAACTAAAAAAATTATCTAATTTATAATTGAATATGACACGTTTTGAAAAGCATTAAAAATGCATACGACACCTTAAATTAGCATGGGTTTAGTTTGACATTTAAAACAACTTCAAAGTTATTTGTTTGCCATTGCTTTTTTAAGAATTAAATATTAACCCAGTCCACTGCTTGCACTTGAAATTAAACAGAAATTTCAATCTTATATTCAATTCCCTAGTTAGTTTCCATTTATTGTTTCTTGGCAATGTTGCGAAGGGCGCGTTGGCGGGTTTTCAGCAGATTCTTAAAAACCATTTGACTAGCGAATTGTTCACAGGTAATATAGCCAATGCCATTGATAGCATTTTGTAGCAAAGTATGTGGCAAATATCCAGCTGTGCGTTCGGCAATACCCAATGTACTTAAAGCGGACTTGACATAGGTGTCGGCCGATGGAGCAAAGGCGGAAGTTTTGCGAATCTTCGTCATATTTGTGGCCACAAATCCGGGTTGTATACTTTGAACGAAAATGCCACGGGTACGATATTCGGTTTGCAAATCTGCACTGAATTTATCTACAAAGGCCTGAAAGAGAACAAAACAACAACAATTAGTAAAATTCTGTCAATTTTCAAATTATCTACAAATATACATACCTTTGTGGCACTATAGACAGATAATAGAGGATTTGGTATGACACCAGCCGTCGAAGATATATTAATAATGACACCCTTCTTCTTTTCCACCATAGCGGGCAAAACCAATGCCGTCATATGGGTTACAGAATGTACATTGGCGGAAATTATGTCCCATAAAAATTTCGGATTTTTCTGACTAAATTCAACAAAGAATTCAGGATAATCATAACTCATGCCAACGTTATTAACCAAAACACCGATATCCAATCCTAGAATGTTTGTTTTGATTTTTTCATAAATTTCGGGACCCGAAGTGAAGTTCACATCGATTGTTTTTGTTTCAACACTGTAGGCTTCAGCTGCAATACATAGAGGAGTGTTTGAGTTTATTTGGTGTATTAGAGAAATATTTAATTATGCAATACTTACAGATTTCCTTTGCGACAGCTTCCAATTTGCTGGGTGTGCGACTGATTAGAACAATATTTAGACCATTTTTAGCCAACTGAAAATAGAGAAGCGGAAAGGAAGATTATAGGGTATATTTATTTTGTCATTCCGTTTGTAACTCCTCGAAATATTCATGTCAGACCCAACAATATTTATATATTCTTGATCAGCGTAAAATTCTAAGACGATTTAGCCATGTCCGTCTGTCTGTTTGTCTGTCTGTTGTAATCACGCTATCTTTCGAACAAATTGAGATAGAAGGCTAAAATTTTGCACACATGTATATTTTCCCAGTAGGCAGGTTAAGTTCGTAAATGGGCCATGTAGGTCCAAGTTATCATATAGCCCCCATATAACGGTACCTCCCGATATTCGGTATTTTGATGATTCTAGCGACATTATTCACCGGAATTTGGTATTTGAAGTTCGTAATGGATACTACAGCCTAAGACAGAAAATTATCTGTGCAGGTCCACGTCTTCATATAGCCCCCATATAACGGTACCCCCCGATATTCGGTATTTTAAAGATTTTAGCGACATTATTTACAGGGATTGTTTCAAATTTCGCATGTGAAGTTCGTAATGGATACTTCAGTCCATGCCAGAAAATTGTCTGTGCAGGTCCACGTCTTCGTATAGCCCCCATATAACGGTACCCCCCATATTCGGTATTTTGACGATTTTAGCTACATTATAAACAGATATTTCTTCAAGTTTCGCATTGAAATATTGTAATAATATATGACAAAAGTTGCCTATGCAGGCCCACGTCGTCGTATAAGTATTTTTAAGATTTTAACAGAATTTTTAACGTTTTTTTTGGAAATTGCCAAATTTGTACCAAATGGTGGAGGGTATTAAAAGTTCGGCCCGGCCGAACTTACAACTTTTTTACTTGTTTCATATTGGAGTTGCATTTTAATACCACATGACATGGTACCATGGTAGAATGAAGAAGGTAAAGTCAAGCAATCATATGTTTGCAATTTTTTCAAAATTATTCATTTGACAACATCTTATTGCCAAAATGCATATTTATAAATCCATTTTATATACAAAAATCAGAGATGGAACCTATTTTCTATGCAGTGAAATTTGACAATGTAAATTACAGAGACTGATATGCTTATTTGAAATGACTTTACCTTCTTAATTTTACCATTTATTAATTTTACCAGTTATCGGTTATGGTGAGAATACATAAAAGTTATCGGCTGGCTTCTTCGTAAAAAAACAAGCGTTGGGTCAAAATCGAACTAAGTCAACCTAAAACTCCTTTGTTCTTTTACGAAAAAGCCAGCCAAAAGGCGAGAGTACATAAAAAGCTAAAGGTGAGAGTACATAAAAGCCTTTTTTGACTGGCTTAGCCTATAACTTAAGTCGGGAATACATTAAACGCTTTTTTGACTGGTTTAAGGGTGGAAGAACATAAAGAGATTTTTTGAATGGCTTAAGTCATTGGCTGGCTTCTTCGTAGAGGAACAAAGGAGTCTTCGGTTGGCATAGTTCGATTTTGGCCCTACGCTCCTTTGTTCTTTTTCGATGAAACCAGCCGATGACTTACGCCTGTCAAAAAATGCGTTTTATATATTTTCGTCTTAAGTCTTCGGCTAAGCCATTAAAAAAAGTATTTTTTGTACTCTCACCTTTACTCACATGAGGATCTGTTTTTAACTTTATCCTAGGTATGTGTCGCCTAAGATTTAGGATTAATTTATGGAAGAAATTCAGTATAATTTTAGTGATATTTGAAGTGGCGATTTTACACGTATATTTAATATTTTTGTAGCGGACTTTTAGGAGCTGTAATCTAAAAGCTAAAGGATAGTACGTTTACATAAATCCTAAATAAATCGGCTCTGTCATTTCTTTATAATTTTGCAGATGCAAAGCAAGAGAATGAACCGCAACGCTGACTGTTTTTTGGCTTTTATAAAGGTGATAACCACGAAAGCTCTAATGTAAATATTCTATAAATATACACCCTTATCGCGTAACAAATTTTCCCCAAAAAAAATCGCCATTCCTAAAAATGCAATCATGTACTTTTTTCACAAAAGTTCACAAAAAGAAATTATAATTATATTAATTTTGGGAATGGAAGAGATTTGACAATATGGAAGAGATCATCTGTTTTATTCGACATTGTAAATAGTGCTTAGGAAGCTCCTAATATGTTCTGATAACATAGTTTCTAAAAAAAGTCGCATATATCTTGACAAATATGAAATCAGGTCGTTTACAGCGCAATTACGAATGAAATACAATGGATTTAGATTTGAACTATAGGCAATCAAGTTGACAGCTGACATCCACTGTTTTTCGCATATGTAAACATGCATTATGTCGAAAGTCAGAATTTATTAATTTTGAAAGGAAACTGGGTTTATGAATAAAGCTGCTATCAGACGAAAAGGGTTTTACATATGTGCTGTCACTTTTTCTATCCATGTGTATTTCCGTGTGTATGTCAAAATTGCCATTTTACACAAGACTTATAATTCTTGCCATCACGCACTGGCATAAACTTTTTTGTTTCCTTTGATTATATTGTGTTTTCTAAAAAATTATAATACTTTATTGATTACTTTTTACCGCAAATATAATTTGATATATTTTCATACAACAAACAATACTTTTGATTGAATTATGTTTTCCGACGAAAATAGGGCTCGCAGTGATCGAAAATGTACATATGCACTTTATTCATATATTTCACACATGGAATGTCGTTCATGTAACACACGATGTGTGCAACTTCTACATATGGGAAATTTTACACTACATTTGTAAAAAAAAACAAAGTTTTTACTACGATAACCGATTGTTCCTTTATGATATCGAGGAAAATTGTAAGACTAGTAGATTCTAGTTTGAAATTTAAAATTTTGAATGAAAAAGATTAATTCAAATTTGCAAAATGTTTTGAAAAATGCATATCATAACAACCTCCGATTGGTGTCGTATAAAAAAAAACTTAAAAAAATTTACTCAGTTTTAAAAAACATTTTAAAAATTTTGACAAATCGATGTTGCCATGCGTTGATGCATCTACTTGTATTCTACTTCCATTGAATTTGGCAGCAAATTTAGTTGTCAGATGGCCGACCTTATATAGGCCTTGGCAAATATATTATAAGAAATAGTCTTTTGGCAAATAAACGTGAACGCAATTGTCTTGCATTTTGTAAGCCCTGGTTAAGAACAGTGGCCAGAAACGGATTTTATGGAGATTTCAAAAAGTCAACATTATATTAGAATTCAATTTATTTTTTTTACAAACATATATGTTCAATACCAATTTAAAGATAATTACACGTGTAACCAAATATTATAAAAAAGAAACCACTACGCATAGTAGAATTAAGAAGGTAAAGTCACGGTATCACATGTTTCCTTTTATTTCAAAAATTTGATGCATCAACGCTTGGTATGTTAAAATAATTTAAATGTTTTTTCAAATCTAAGTAGATTTTTAAATGTTTTCTAATAAGACGTCATTCGGCTGTTATTATAATTAGCGTTTTTCAACAATTTTTACAAATTTAAATAATTTTTATTCAACATTTTCAATTCCCAAATTGGTTTGACAGTTCATTGTCTCAGCACCTGTGTCGATGAGTCTACCTATATTCTTCTATCATGTCTCCTTGTCAAAATGTATATTTATAATTCCATTGTGTCAGAGATGGGACCCTTTTTTATTCAGTTTAATTTGACAAGGTAAATTACAGAAAATACAGAGATGGATATTATTATTTGAAATTACTTTACATTCTTAATTTTACCTTGTCACTACGAAATAAATTTCCCCAATACCCTTGACCCCGCTCAAAACCTTTCCTTCTCACTCCTTTTGTACAAAGTTCTTGTTTAAATTTATTGCACATGTACATAATTATACAAAACGAAACGAAATAAAAAAGAATTTATATGTATACCTTATTATTGGTATTCCGCTAACTCATCATTATTTTCAACACGTACACGTCGAATACGACGAACATTGTCGGCCGTATGTGTTTATGGCACCACCATATTCAAATATCGATACAAAAATCTATTGACACCCTTTGGGTTCAAATACATTTGTCTTGGCATACCACATATACGCGGACTCTTCATTTGGTTTGGTGGCAATTCATTATCGAATCGAAATGTGTATAAACGCATTGAACGGAAATTATGAATGCGACAAGTTCAACGTCAGCCGCCAATTCGTTGCAAATCCGTTATTGTTGCGTGAGAGTTTAGTTCAATTTTTCTTTTTGAAATAGTTAATAATGCATTTATTTACATGCGAATGAAAAGTGGTATTTGAGAGTAGGAAGGCAAATTGTAATTCACTAATTGGTTAATCACTTTCACCAAATTGTTTGAGGCACTCATAGTTAATGGTGAAGATGTGGTTGAAACATACGATTCATTCAAATGAAAAATATATGAATATTGGCTCTAATTCTTATAGATTTTTTGAGTTGTTTCGACATTATTAAATGTAAAAAAATTTATTTTAACTTTGTTTCTTAATTTTTATAGTAAAACCCATAGTACAATAAGGAGGTAGAACAGCTTCGTAAAACTACAGAAATACAGCCCTGAGACTATGCCCGCTTCCTGCCAAATTTTCGTGAAACAAGTTGTTTTAATTTATTCAATATTTTTCCTCATTTATAAAATCAATTAAACAGCGGGAAAAATGAATGAAATACCTGGATTTTCTTTCAAAAATACGATCTAAACAGTTCTATCTTTCATTTCCATGGCAAACCTGGCGAATAGCTTTAATGCGCGTCTCGCAATCTACGCGTCTTCCAATCCTTGATTTTGAAAATATTCTGTTTTTATTTTTCAAAACAAACAGATCAGGTTCGTAAAACTACAGAAATACAGCCCTGAGGCTATGCCCGATTCCTGTCAAATTTTCATACAACAAGTTGTTTTAATTTGTTCAGTATTTTTCCTCATTTTTAAAATCAGGTAAACTGCGGGGAAAATGAATGAAATGCCTGGATTTTCTTTCAAAAATATGATCTAAACAGTTCTATCTTTC